ATTAGGCAGGATGTATTTGTTTGAAAAAGAACCCACTCTTGTGAAATTAAGAGGTTTATAGGTGAAAATTGTAAATTTAGAAATAAGTTTTATTTTTTCCTTTGAACTGAGATCAATATGTGATTTTTCTAAATTTCTTTAAAAGCATTTGTTTTTTTAACAATTACAGCAGATGCAAATATGTTCTGAGAGATAATTGAAAAACAATGGCCATTGAATAACATTTTTTGATAGTAGAAATAAAAGTTTTAAAAACGTTATTTCACTAACAAAGTAGAGGAATGACATACAGTATACAATACTTTAACTACCAAAATATGCAACTCATAGATAACCACAAACTTCACTTTTGTTAAATATCAAATGAATTAACTTTACATGTTATAAACAATGCAAATAAACAGTAGTTAAAGCATGTGGATCAATTGTGTGTTACAGAATTTGATTATTGGGGAGATTCCTTTTAAAAACTAAATTAGTTAAGATAAAAAAATGAATATAATGACTCAAGAAAATCAGTTTTAATTCAGAATTTGATTATTGGGGCCATTTTTACCTACCTGTCATATGGGGCCATTTTTTCCGGGGCCATTATTTCCCGGGGCCATTATTTCCGGGGCCATTTTTTCCGGGGCCATTTTTTCCGGGGCCATTCTTACCGTACACCTAAGGCTACACTAGTTAGCAGCGGCCATGCCTTACCACTCGACCACTCAACTCGCCCAACTAAGGCGAAACTTATTTTTTTTATAGGCCTACCATGTTTAGCGAACTTGCCGCCTGCAATAATAATAATGATTTCGTATGAATGTAAAATGTTATTTTTGGCCAATTGCGCATCCACCACGTAAAAATGGAATTTTAAGAAATGTTTCTTTATCTTTATTACATCCACCTCTGCCTTGAAATCTCCAAAAATAAGAAACGTAAAATTGCTGTACAAAATTACATTTACAATGTATTACCAATTCGGGATAACTAAAATATAAAACATGGAAAAAAGACCAACCAAACTTCCTTTTTATGCCTAGGCTAAATGTAGTGCTATCCAAAATGACTTTATTAAGTTTTAAGATTGTTGATCTCTTTTTTTACCGACACAACTAGCATGTGAAAAAAAAAAACCCTTACACAAACATTTTTTAAAGCGTACAATTATTCTAAAGCTAAATCTGTATCTCTGTTTCTGTGAATTGACCCAGAATTTTTCTCGGGGGTTGTTTATTTTCTATTTTTAATATTATATTACTATTGTGATGAAATAATAACAGCGAAGAAGATTGGCCTGAACGAACATAAACCTGTGATATATACTCCCACGGGGTGATGGGGTGGGGCTAGGCTTCCCCGGCGAGGGGATAGCCCTGTCTCTTATACACATCTAGATGTGTATAAGAGACAGGATATCTTAGTTTTAAATAGAGACATCTTGCCCAAGACAGAAGAGACTTGAACAGCGATGAAGATGATGAAGAAGATGGTATAATGATAAAGTTGATGATAATGGAGATACTTAGATGGTAATATAAAAATTACCATTATAACACTTTATATTCGCCAACATACCATGGCATCGTACTTTAGTGTGTTCATAAAATGTGATGTAGCCAGTCCTTTATACACATAGTACCACATGGTTCCCTGAAACTGGTCTCCCGCATCTAGTAACATCACATTATCTGTTCTCTCTCGAATCTTTTTCACCACAGCCGCTCGCCGGGCAATGCCGCCGACACATCTACCGACTAATGCCATTTCATCGGTACACTTCCCGCCAAATGCGTCACTCGTCTGCTCGAATCTTGAATGCACATCGTTCGTGTGTAGAAACGTTACGTTGAAGTCCAACGCTAATATGCCATAGACGTGGAAACACATAAATGTACAAACGAAGCTCCGTAATATGGACATCCGGATCTGTGGGTGTCGCAAACAATTACGCCTATGAGCAAAGTTTACTTCCAGCTTCACGAAGACGAACTACGGTATAGGGTATGTGAATACCAAAGACAATTGTTCGTGATAATAAACCAGCTAATTTTGATATAGCCCCCACCTAACCCAGGAAAAAATCCAGTTTAAATCTTCAAAATCAATGCAAATCGGAGATTCTTCCAGTCCCCAGGCTTAAACGAACCTTGAACCTTTAACCTTGAATTGCTATTACCATTGATATGAAAACTGTGTTATCTTGCTGACGGCTCGATCATCTTATCATGAACCTGTATGTCATGACAATGGTTAATATTGTGTTTCACTTTATTGTTTTATAATGGCAGTAATAATGGCGGTAATGGTACAGCGTTGATTAAGTTGGCAACTTCTTTATTGTGTAGGTGGCGGACGTCCAAACACACTGTAAACCCCATGCATCCAAACCCTTTAATTATTATTGTAGAACTCTCTTTTTTCTTTAAAAAAAAAAAAAAATAATAATAATTTGATGTTCATATCAACCCATTGTTTGTGGGGTTTACCAATACCCGGATTGAATTTTTGGAAAATTGTGATTCCGCTTCCGTGAAATTGGCCACAAATAAATTATTTTAGTATTAATAAATGCATAAATTATTTTGAATTTTTTATTATGTTGTTGCTATTTTTTAACATTTAAATGAAAAAAAAAAATGAATAGTTTTATTCATGGCTATTTTTTTTTTATCTTTGATGAGCACAGTAAAGGTAACATAGGACAACATTTAAAAGATCATGATATTAGTGATACTGCAACTGTTAATTATTTCAAGGTTTTATCTAAGTGCAAATTCAAGTTTGATTGCTTAATTAAAGAAATGCTTTGGATCAATGAACTAAAACCTACACTTAACAAACAAACTGATTCAGTCAAAGCCAAACTGTTTATTTAGTTAATCTGCTAAGAAGGGCTAATTATATTATTGCTTAGCTCCACTATCCTATAGCCTGGTTCATGTCGAACTTTATCTAGACGCAGGGTTCCCGGAACGCCGCCCTTAGCGGCGAGTGCGAAGCACAACTCAGGGTCAAAAGTGGAACGTGAAATTTGGATATGGTTCTTTGTGAAAAGGAGTACCGCGGCGTACTCATTTTCACAAAGCATTTGCATCCCCTCTTGGAAAGAGGGATTCGAAATAATTGTCTCCATATCTTCGCTAATTGAATTAATCACCGTAATTTAGCTTACGCTTATGAATTTAGGGAGCACTTAAAATGTGAAATAATCATTTCACTACCCGACAAACTCTGAGCTTTATTCATTCATTTAGTCCTAATATACAGTAGTTTCATATTGCTGTAATACTCCAACATCACTGGCGCATGGTAACAACCAACTGACTGCAGACCATTTCCGGTCACACATTACTCTCCATAACACAGCACCCCCTAGTCCCGTCACCTCTGGATATTCCCGTCTTGAAACATGATACGATAATCCCCTAATTGCGTTCGATGCCAAGTTAGAGCCAGATAAACAGCCAGCCAGTTTCAGGCCGTCGACGTCACACGGTGGAAAGGTTTGTTTACGGGGCCCCGTATTGTTTAATAAAACATCTACTGTATTTTACGAACCTCTAGTACCAAGTGGTATTTGTTCAAAAGAAATTGTAAACTACTGTAGAGAAAGTGTGAGCTTCCACTACCTAACCTAGCCGACCAGTACGAACCAACGACAGTGCAGCAGCGTGTTCTATCGTAATCTAAGTACAGTAGTAGATTCTCTAGGCCCTAGCTAAATTGACCTACGAATTATTTTAACCGCTAGCTAGCATTCTTCCATTTAACAAAATATTGTTTTAATTTTTCATTAAAACGTCTGTATACTTTAAGAACCTTTCTGTCCTGTTTTGTAGTTTTTAGATCGCTTATATGCTTCGCGGTGTCAAATAAGTTGCTGACTTCCACACACTTTTTTATTTCGTCATCGTAAACGTGTGCGCTCATTTTAACGACTGGCGTTGGTGGTAGTTCGTTGAAACTGAATTAATAGCGACTATTATAGCAGAAATGGAAAAGATTGAATTAATACAATAAATAAATTAAATTAAGTTAATTTACCGTTATTCTAGTAAAGTTAAGTCACTTAACTTAGTGACTTAATTCCTTTATCTAGCTATAATTGAGTGGTTCACGTCGAACTTTTAACTAGTTAAGTGGATCTATATCTAGATAAAAGTTCGACGTGAACCAGGCTAATGAGAACGGAGATTAATAGTCGTTCCCACATTATGCCGACAGTATAATAAACAGACTATAGCATATTGACCAAAATTCCAAATAAAAACAGGAAATAGAGAAACATAGCATAACATTTAGGCCACAATGGACGCAAGTATAAAATATGTAAAATAATAAATATATAATGTCAAGAGCGAGGTAAATAAATAAAATAGTCAAAATGAATCAATGTAATGAAAAAGTAAAATAAAAATGAGTGTAGCATAGCTGCATCAAGAAGGTAGGAAATAAGTAAACAACACATTATAATAAAACCCGTTCATATAAAAATACACAAATGAATAAAATAAAAAAGAATAAAGATATGTCTAGGTCAAAATCGCAAATAGGAATGAGTGATCAAAAGCAAAAACCAAATAATAACAATGAAAATCAAACAGAAGCCGGGATATGACAAAAATAAACAGCAAGTGTAAAATAATGTAATAATATAATAAACGGTGATAAACTGATGTTAGTGGTGGCTGAATGTGTAATCACTAATGATGCCGAGATCTCTGTTGAGGTCAAAGAGGTGAGTTTTGTATTTGAGAATATATTTGAGTTCATTATTTTCTGTCTGAATGAGACTTGAAATTATTTGCCATTATCGCCGGTAATTTCAACGAGTTTTTTAATTATGTGTAGGGCGCCCCCTATTTCGTGGCAGTAATTTTAACGTTCCATTGCCTGGAAAATCAGGGCAGTCGGACCACTTGCAGTTTATTCTCTTTGGTTTAGTCATGGACCTATCAATAGGTCCATGGTTTAGTTTATTCTTTTATCAAATGAGAATGAAACCAGCTAATTCTGGATCATGATATTAAATTAATCATAAAATAATAATTATAACAATCATTTGTATTATTATAACAATGTTATATATATAATTACTATTAGGCCCAGTATTAATATTATTATTATTATTATTATTATTATTATTATTATTATTATTATTATTATTATTATTATTATTATTATTATTATCCTTTTAATTACCATCCACTCAATTACTCCATCGACAATCAGCAGATGACGGCCAGATCGAAGTTGGGTTCATTTTTGTTTCTTTTGTTGTTGTTGTTGTTGACCTAAGCTCGGAAAAACTACAATAATTACCATGTCCGATAATTTATTCGAATTTTATTTAAAAAAAAAACAAAAACAAAAACAAATCAAGGTATTTCCACACCTTGTGCCATTGGTTTTATTGCATAATGGAAGGAATTGCTTGCAGTGTCATTGTGCGTATTGAATTCAGTGGCGGTGCCAGGATTTCCCCAACGGGGGTCTAAGGTCCCCTACGGG